CGACTGCGTGCATCCAATTCAACCAATAATATTATTCTCTACTTACGCCTCTGCGTTTGCTAGTCAAATAGTAGACATTTCGCCGTCCATTTAACTTTACCCAGTCATTGGGCCTTTCCTTCTTGTAGCTGCTATTTGTTTGCTCTCACAGCAATATCAAGTTTCGTGTGGAATTTCTTGTCGTCCACCACCGCTTGCTGCTGTGAGCTGAATGCTTTCTTGTTTTGCTGTAGTCGATATTATCTGTTCCCCGGTACTTGGCGCTGCAAGTTTCTAAACGAGGATGCTGGCTTCATCGACAAGTAGAAATCCGAGGCTCTAGCTATCAASACTCTCGTGCATTCATAATTTCTTTTGCTGTGGTTATGATCGCCTCTGCCGCTCTCATCTACTRCTACTACCAATGTCTCTACCATACTCTTGCCATTTTTATTAACACCTCTTCAGCTAAAATACCAAAAATATGAAAAATCAGCTTTTACTACCTACTTTTACTTCAACAACTAAGTCTGTGAAAAGCAGCCAAGTAGTCGAGCAATCAAATACTAGCTCTAACGTATGTATAACCACAGGCATTGGGAGAAAGTAAAAACAAGAATGTAAAGTGAATGATGGTGGAACTTGAATACTTACAAGTTGATGACAAATTACTAGCATTACTCTTTGGCGTAAAAATATTGTATAACATTTGTGACATTAGTAAATATATTCCCGTTAGTATAACTGGTCAGATTTCGATTGAAGAAAAATAGATATTGGGTTCGAGTCTGCAAAGTTCAATTAGTTACGAAATCTGGAAGATGATCGACAGTTTCCATGATCCATATTATACCAGAGTCCGTCATTTTTTTTAATCACTTCCTCATGGCGATTTTTCTACCTTATTTCCATAAAATGGCAATTAAGAGTAAACATTTTGATTWTTAGTATTTGGAAATGCAATCAACTATTTACAATGCACTTTCAGCRAAATTCGGAAAACCCATAAAAATATTTTTGCAATAACTCGATATGCATTCGACCATCCTAATGCCGCATTTAAAACATGTTTMATTTTCCTTTACTGTCCTAGTAAAAGGCGGTTAAAAGTTAGAAATATTTGGTGCCTACATTTTGCGGAGGCCTGAAAAGAAAGGCAGACCGATTTATATTTATGTATGTATACGTAAGTATGAGTGTTTGAATAGATTTCTTTAAGCGACGTTCAACGCAAAAACAAACTGAATCTATAGCAAGCGCATACAAATAGTTGCAAAGTGTTGCTAAAATTAGAATAATGTTGCACCAATCATGTGAACTATTCAACCGAGAGGTCGCAGCAATTAACACTTGAATACCTTTTGTGTGCAAACATACATACATGCATATGCTACTACAAGTGCTTATAGTCTGGTCAGCTACGCCCAGTGTATTAATGAGATATTAACCTACTTTTGTAATCGTCTGTACAAAAGATAACTAAAGTAAAAGTCTGAGGCATGCAGCATCTGGTCTGATTCTGAGGTGCCTAGTATGTGGAGCTGTGCTATAGATGCWGCTATTCTTGCCTGCTTGTACAGAAAAGAAGAAAGACAACAAAGCCAAAGTCATTTTAAACACCATTCAATGCATGAGGAAACTACGTATGTATGTGAGCAGAAGGGAAAAATTAATTACTAGCGCAGTGCAAAAGCTAATCGCTTTAAGAATCTGTGAGTGTGTATATGGTGACACTACACAGAAATCCATTCATATTTGAAGAAATTCCTTTACCCAGACTTTCTAAGTTTCCATTTAGTGCTTTCTCCTGTTCTAGTGTATAATTAGACCTGACGGCCTGCAGCTTTCTTTTCCACACATATTTAAGCGCGCTCGAAAACCCCTGTTAACCTAATTACTTTCTTTGGAAAACTTAGTCTCCAGAGCTCAAGAAGAATATATAGGTATTATACTTCAATAGATTGCCGAAATATGTACATTTTAATGTGAGCTAAGCCAAAAGAAATGTGCAAGCATAAGTTCTCTGCCAAACTCTTCGCAAGCGGTTTTAATCACTTCCAAAATAGAAAGGCGCCAAGGAATACTAAAAGCAAGTCAGGCGAATTCCGAAAGCATGTTTTAGCTGTAGCGTAATCCGAAAGCCGATGGGTGTGTGTGTCAACAAAAAAATGTACACAGAAACAAATATGAAGCATTGTTTGCACGGAATATAAAAACAATCGAAGAAAGTAATTACAAAAACAATGATGCAGCAAAAATGTAAACAAAGCTACACGAGAACGCAAATCACTACACGAGAACGCAAATCACTAATGCAAAAAACAACAGCACAGCCGTCACGGTAAAAGCGAATCTCACGAAGCCGACGAAGCTCAGTAGGTAACATGAAATGAAGAGTGAGCGCGATGCGAAACCAAAGACTTACGCCACGAACTTCCCCAGCACAGCGATGAGAAGTGAGAATATTGGAGACCAAATTGTGCAAAACAAGAATACTACTTTCAACGTTTGCAGTGCAGTGAGCGATCGAACAACTACAACAAACCAAGCACAAGCAAGTAAAAGCGACTACGACAAAAAACGGGTATGTGAATGCACAGTGTGAAGATAGCGTTTGCTGCGAGATCGGCGACAGTGACGTTGTAGAATGTAGCTACAAATGTAGGTCAAAAGAGAAACTAACGGCGCTGGCTGCACGCGTGAACGCCGGCGATTGTGCTGGCTGCCTGGTTGACTTGCTGCCATGGGTGCGCGCAACCTTTTGTTTTTGTTTTTAGACAGTACTACTGTGTGTATGTTAGACTGAGAAAATATGTTTAACTTTTTGTTGGTGGAGAAAACCAATATTCAGTACGATGCGTACAAGTGAAAGGAGTTCAAGTTCGATGGAAGCACGATAATGTAAGGAAACACATATTCATCTTTTGTTTCAAAAATCATCTGATATATGGGGTTATAAAAAGATCAGTTCCTATGTCTGGTAGAAGCTATAGTCTGCGATTCCGACAAATATCGGCTACTTAAAGAGAAAATTAAAAATTTCAGGTCAACTACTTCTGTAAGACTAGTTCACGTATTTACAAACGACAGCCGGATGTGGCTAAATCTACTCAGGTCATCAGACTGATAATTTATATACATGAAAATAGTGCTTTATTAACAGCATAACTTTAAAGGTTTGCATATGTATGCCAAAAGTATGGCTCTAGGGCATTATATATCTCATAAAATGTCACTACATTTCTGTATGTTTCTTTCTTTTTTTCTTAACCAACTCCAAAATCCTTGAGGCCACTAAATCCATAGGCCTCCTCTTTCATAGCAGCGATTTGATGTATCTCCCTTTGTTTCAGCTGAGTTGCGCTGATCGCAACAAAGTCCAGCTCTTTTCACGTCGTTTSAGATTGGTTCGCTCGTCCGTGTTACGCTTTCTCCCATTTAATCGGATATGTTTCTCTAATAAACAACAATAAAGAACTAATAAGTTACAAAAACACACGTCTATCACTTACTATTTAACGCAATCTTACCGATCACCTCTATTATGATTATTTTTCTCTCTGCTTAAGAGTATACTCACTTGGCTTTTGAAGTGCTTACAGTTAATTTCTTCTTTAGTTTATRCTTTCTTAATTTCCAAATTCATCAAGCTTGTAATTTACTTCAATCGAAATCAAACAAAAGCAAAACTGCTGTAGCTTCGAGCTTTCGCATAGATCCGGTATTGCGAAACGAATTCAACTGGTCATTTTAAATACCTTTGCAAAGAGTCAAAATACAATCTTCTGTCGAAAGCTGCAACACAGGTTCATGTTTAATATGAATGTGAAGCGTGCACAAACACACAAGATGCCCGTTAGCTCATGTATTGCACACACATACTCATACAAAGGATGTAGTGGTATCATGCTGTTTTCAATATATAAACATAAAACAAATAGTACCTACACTGGCATATATTAATATAAATACAATGTGTGTTAGTGTGAGGCATTAAAAGAATTCAGAAACTCCGCACTCTACAGACCGACAGCAATTTAAGGCTTACATGCATGCATATACTATATGTACTTGTATGTGAGTCGCAATCATGCACACATACACATGCATTTCACATGCGCACACCAAATTTGTGAGCTTACTTAATATGTGTGTATGTATGTATATATGAGGAAACAAACTTACTACTCGCTTGCTCCGAAGAAAGGCAGCGCACTCAAAGCCACAGCGCTGAACAGGTAAGAAAGCTAGGCGCACACACACAACACATATGTGCGTATGTACGGGCGATTTGGTGTTTGTGCACCGAACAATTTCCAACGTCATGAGCGAAAGTGAAATCTGCTAATGAATTCTTCAACGTTGAATAGTTTTCGGTAATTACCACGAACCAGTTCAATCAACAACATAAATCGACTTTAAGTTCAAGTCAAATTGAATATGAAGATTTACCGTACTTACAGACACAGCCAAAGGAATAACGAACAATAATAAAATTATAAAAATTAATAATGACAGAAGGCATACTTAGGCTTTGCGACATATGTGATCTAGTAGGTGGTATATACTACATATATGTATATATTATGTATACATATACTGTATGAGTGTAAGGGTACCCAGTGCTGAAGTTCCGAGCGACAACTATCACTTTCTTCGGTATGTCCACAAAGCACTTTAATATCACAATTATAATCACTTAGCTGTACAAGCGTAGTATTCATAATCTCGTTGATATTTCTGAATTTGAAGGGTTGATGTGTGATCTTATCAAAAAATAACTAACAATTTAAAAAGTATTCTTCTATATAATGCTGATAGCAAAACGAAAAGTTAATGCCGATTCCAAATACAATTTATATTTAATATTAATTTTTAAAAATAATACTTCTCAACTTCTTCTGAATTCGTTCTCATAATATTTTATTGAAGTCAGTTTTTTGACATATGTAGATATATATTTTTATTGTAGTTTTTAAAATGATAAAACCGATTGCTTATATTTATTTCCTTTACCACAGGGGAGGCAGAGAAGGTCAAAACATTAATCAGATTACGTGCGGAACTCTCACCGCTATTCACAGGCAAGCGTAATGCCTCCAAATATGCTTGGGCGTAAGTAAAAAATAATTATACTAAAATTAATATATACACAAATGCTAACATTTAAAAATGTACGAAGTGTTCAAATTTTCTTACCAACGTTCAACATAAAATTATCACAGGTTTCCCTAAAAATTTTCAAAAAAAAAAAGTTTAATACATAGGAATGATAATATCTTTTTTGGGTAGTTTATTTGGCATTATTATTAATATTAATTTTTATAAGTATATACTATATATACAATATTTGTAAGAAGAATAGGAATACGAAAATTTTTTTAAGTTTCTTTATTTCTTAAAGGAAATATGTATTATCCTTTACTCATTCTATACGTTTGACCGTCTGTCTTTTTCTCTCGTCCAATTTAACTTCCTATAACGTTCTCCGCCTTTATTGTGCATTTCTCTGTTCTCTCATTGACGTCCATCTTTAATACCACCCGTACCACTTGTAGGGTCGTGGAGCGCAAACTCAATGTTCCACTGCCACTTTCGAAGATCATCAAAAAATGGAATAATCTACTGCAAGAATACAAAGTGAGTACCAGCTCCAATTAGCAGAGAATTTCACTCGAACACTTGAACTAATCGACAATTTTCCCTATTCCTTAAACCAATTTTCCATCCTACAGGCCATTAAAATGTCCGAAGAGCCAAAGCGCCGCGAATGGCCCTTCTTCACACTGATGGATGTCTATTTCAGCGATCAGGTCAACGATCCTTCGTTACGTCTCTTCTCCTCTACTAAAACGCTCCGCGAGACAATCGATGACAGCGTCTTCGAAGATGATCCCATTATTGTATCCGCCATAGAGGCAGCTACTTCAGGGGCTTACATGGACATTGATGAGCTCATACGCCGCCAAAAAGAACGTGCCGAAAAGAAATACGCTTTGGCTGGTGGCGGCATTGGCGATTACAAATACGACATCAAACCGATGTTGCAGAACAGTAAATTTAACAGTAACGATACGTTGAAGCTATCGAAGAGCGTCGATGACTTGAGCATGCAACAGTACAAAATAAAAGACGAACTCATGCGACAGCACGAACAGGAGCAGCAGGAKAATATACTCAAGATCAAGCAGCACGCACRTCAACAGCAGCAGCAGGTCCAACAACAGGCGCAGCGTGAGCGGGAGCGTGAACGCCAGCGTGAACAACAAGCTGTGCAACAACAACGCTTCTTACATGCCGCAGTTGGCCAACAACAATTGCCGCCACCACCGTCGCCGCATGCAGTGCATCGCCTGCCACAGCAACCGACMCCACCACCGGGGCTGCAACATGCCTTGCAGCAGCAACATCAACATTTGTTGCAGCAACACCAACAGCAGCAGCAGCAGCAGCACCATCTTCTCCATCAACAACAGCAACGTCAACAGCAATTACAACAACAGCAGCAACAACAACCACAGTCGCAACCGCAGCAATTATCACCGTCGATTGTACTGCCACCGCCGCCCACACCACCCACCACAGCTCAACAGATACACATACAGACGGCCCAACACCAGGCCACTCAACAGCAGTTGCACTTGCAACAGCAACAACAGCAGCAGCAACACAATCCACAGCATCCACAGCAGCAACAACAAGGATACACCGATCCCAACACGATCGACCAGTACCTCCTGTCGTGGAATAACTTCCATGGTAACATGTGTCGTGGCTTCCACACCCTACAAAAGGACGAGAAGATGGTGGACGTAACGATCGCCGCGGGCGGAAAAATATTCAAAGCACACAAACTCGTAAGCATGCAATTGAACTGACAATCAATCCTTGGTGGAATCACGAAGGTTGCGTACACTTTTCACGAAGATTCAATAACTATATAAATATATTGTGTATTTTTTCCACTCATTCTCATTACACACTTTTTGGAAGAGTRCAAAAATAACGTCATTTTTAACTCATACAATTCAATTATATCGAAACTTTCCTCAACTTAATCATTACAATATTTTCACTTTTCAAATCATTTGTTCATTTTCGCTTATCGTCCTATGTATGTATTCCCAGGTACTATCCGTTTGCAGTCCATACTTTCAACAAATATTCCTTGAGAATCCCTCCAGTCACCCTATAYTATTAATGGCTGATGTAGAAGCACCTCATATGGCTGGTTTACTGGATTTTATGTACAGTGGACAGGTAAGTTTATTGTAACAGTTTTAACAGAGTGCTCGGTCAATGGAACGTTTCGTGATTTATGACGGCTCTTTACGACAGTTACTCTACAATTTGTTGCGTTTGTGTTTTGTTGAAGTGTTTTTCAACATTAAACACTTTTTAGAATATAATTAATGTCCTTATATGTAATTATATTTTATTTCAACCTTTAATTGCAGGTTAATGTAAAATACGAAGACCTACCTGTTTTCCTAAAAGTAGCTGAAGCAATGAAGATCAAAGGACTGCACACCGAGGTAAATTGAGTACAATATAAGTAAATAGTAAGAGAAATCAAGAGAAGGACTTATTGCAATATGCCGCAAATAAAAAGTATTTACAAGTTCAAAGCTTGTAGTTCGACTTCCTTCAAAGTTATTCAAATAAGCTTCTATGTATTGAAAATGGAAAAAATTTAGCCAAAAAATGTCGTGATGTTAGTGATCTATAAGGGAACAGCTCAGTTATAATTTAGTAGCAACATTTTTCTGAAACTAATTTCCTTTTCATTAGCTAACTTTACGTTTCGTTCCAAATACTTTCATTCAGAAAAACATGAACGATGATAAGGAAAATGGCTCTTCACAAGACGGCGACTCTCTGGCAACACCAACCGGTTCTGGTACTCAATGTCACTTCGACCGTGCCACACACAGCGTTAACATAACCGGTCACCCATATGGACAATCCCCAATACACCCGCAACAACCACCCCAACAGCCATCTGCACCACCGCCACCACAGTCAACCGCTCAGACGGCGCTTGAACATAGCATGAACGGCACCGGCGGACCACTTTCGCCATCCCCAGGTTTTGCCAGCTTCCGTGATCATATCAAGTCTAAAGCGAGCTTCGCGGAAACTTTTATGAAGAATCTAAGTCGCAATAACAACAATAACAGCAGCATTAATAATTACAATAATTTGAGCAACTCGTTGCCGGAGTCGACCGCAGTAACACGGAAGTCGGATAATTTCGCCATTATACAAGCGAATAGCAAAAAGATCTTAGACACATCAAAGAAACCACATAAATATCTCGCTAAACGGAAAATACTGATGCATTACAATGAGGAGCTGAATGAGAAGCGCAGGAAGGAGATGGATTGCTACAGCGTTGAGACAGATGTGAACAGCAATTTGGATGTCACGCTAGTGGAAACAAACAAAACGACATCGGAGACCTTAGGATTAACACCAGCAATTTCGGTTAGCGCCATAAGCAACAGTAGCAGCAATAACTACAAGATACGACTTATGGAGAAGCATCAAAATGACACGGCCGCCCAAGCAGCAGCTGCCGCCACCGCTGCCGCCAATACTGTCACATCAAAACACAACAACAATGACGACTCAATCAATAATAACGAGTCTCATACCACAAAGGAAACCACACCGCTGGAAGAAGAAGTCACAGAAGCATTAAATCTCGTGCAAAATTGTACTACAACCAGCAGCTCGTACGATGGTTCGAAGGCCGCAACCGACACGAGCGAGAAAACAAGTTTSAAGGAAAAAACGACATCTAGCAGCAGCATTTGCCCGCTTGTGCCTTTAATCAACATCAAAGTGGAGCAGCCCGACTCGAGCTACAATATGGGAAATATGAGTAGTGGCCTAAGCAGTGGAGCTAGTAGCAGCGGCTGCAGCATTGGTGGGCGCAGCAGTACAAGTACATCAGATGAGGATGAGCTGGAGCGCGTGCGAGAACGAGAACTGGAACGTGTGTTGGAACGCGAGCGGGAGCATGAAAGTGAGCGCGAACGTGAACGAGAGCGCACACTTGATCGTGAACATGAGAGGGAACGCAATCAATATCACAGTGATTATAATAAGGACGAAATGGAGACAGATCCCAACAATAACAACAGCAAGGACACCGCAAACTTGAATAAGAACGTTGCGCTCATACATGCAATTACACGCAATTTGGAACATCCTAAAAGCGACAACAACAATAATCACACAGAACTAGATTTAAGTAGTACGCATTTAAGCAGTTTGGGATTGGTAGCCGGCATTACCGACAACGAGACTGTCAAGAATATAGCGACAGCTGAGATCTTGTGCGGGCTGAAGAGTAAAGTCTTCAAAATGGAGAAACTAGACGAGGATCGTGAGCGGGAACGTGAGAACTGTCGTAGCTTGAGTGAGATAAAAAATGCGGGTGATTGACAATTGAGCGCGTTGACACGAAAAGCGCATTAAGRTTTGGGATAAGCGGCCGCGTGAAAGCATCAGCCCAGATCATACAAATTTTATTGAAGGGATGGACAGATTTCGAACATCTTCGGTAAGACACCGTTTTGACGTGGAAAGTGTCCGTCAAGCGTTAGTTTAGTTGATACGTTCAAATGCATTTGTTTATTATTTTTATTATTTTTGTTAATTGGTAGTTATTTATTTTTTACATACTCGTACAGAGATGCTTACAGGTATGCATGCATACATTGTTCTACTTCCTCCATTTATTTAGTAAGTACCCATGAGTAGGTAGATTAAGATACAASTAATAAGTTATGTTTAATGTGTGGAATAGATAAAACTTAGATTTAAGCAGCGAAAATGTTGATAAATAAAAATATGGCAAATTAAAATAAGAGATTGAACAGAGTTGACAGAAGACGACAAAATATATATTTCCCTGCTTACTCAATTATTAGAAGAAACCATCAAGCCCTTTTGATCATGAATATTTATTAAAGGCATCTCAGCGCAAGAAGATACCCAATTAGCCGAATATTCGTTGACTTTGAATTTTGACCTTGAGMAAATATAAATTGTGTTATAAAGCTAGAAATTGGCAAACATTTTTGCATATGCGTACATCTCTTTTGTACGATGTTTAAAGGAAATGTGCTAGTTAATAAACAATGAGATAAAGTGAATCATTTAAATTAAAATAGAAATAGTAATTATTTTACTATACCTGATCAGCTCATAAATTATGTGAAAACATTAAATTAAATATTTTATATCACTTTGCTGCAGCTTAACTTGCCAGCTCTATTTTTAATACTTAAAATACATTTTATTGTTAAATACCAGGGAAACTTGTAAAACTTTAAAGGAGTTTAGGAATTTTAAAGAACGTTTTAACCCATAAAACCCCTAAAATAATAACAAGTATTAATTTAATGCACTTAAATAATACGATAACAACTTATTTATATTAATATGTCTTAATCCCACTAAAACCATTAAAATGGTTACAAAAACGGATTGGGCAGTGCAAGCAGAGCTTATGTTATTATTTCAGGAAATTATGCTCCGATTTCATATAGATTTTTTTTTTAAATTTTGTTACCATGAATTATTGTTGTTTGGTAGATTCCCGATAATCAATTAATAATCAATGTAGATTTTTTAATATCACTACTTTTCTGCAATTTTATAATTTTAATTAATATTTATTTCATCTCATTTGCTATTTATTGTCGCATGTTATCGCACACAAATCAATTACTCAATTATTTTTTCGATATATATTACTAAGCTACATCTATTTCATGATTTTTAATATTCATTCGAATGTACTATATACATATGAATGTGAAAAGTTCACATTAAAACAAAATACTGAATATGCATCGGCTGTTAGTAGAACCCCCATCCCACATGTACGTATTTATATTAGCATAGTAAAGTCTATACATAAATACGGACAGGAAAATCGTCGCATTTCACCATTCACCACATTGAATAAGAATATGTAAAATAATATAAAAGTAAAGTCCGTGCGCAATAATGCACCACAGTGCCTTTCAAACTACAGTGGCTCTCAAAACGTTGATTGAATGCCACGTTAGTGTTGAACAAAACGTACCTATCGGTTTTTGTATCTTTGCAGTTACGTATTTATATATTGCTTGTCATTATCGCATGTAGCTACACAATTTTTCATATTTATTTATTGTTTTTACCTGTATTTATGTTATATATAACAAGTAATCGTACATTCCGGCATGCATTACAAATGATGTACTCAATTCGTTCATAATAAGTTAATAAACATTGTACAACACTTGCATTCTTCTGATGTAATCGTTTTAAATAAATTGCAAACAATTTTAAAGCGTTAAAAAATAAGTTTAAAAATTGTTAAATAAATAATGCGTAAGTTGATTTCTATGAAAATGAAAAATTTATAAACAAATAAAGAATAAGTCTTGTTTTATATTCACAAGATTGAAATATTTATTTTAAAATCAATAAAGTCAAGGAATCACACCATAGCTGAACAATTGTTTGATGTTCTCTGTGTGGCTCAGGTATACAAATAAGCGCCATCTACTGGGGTCCATTCCAAAACTACTTTATTGAAGATCCCTACCATCGTGTGAGAGGAGAATCCCTCAAAAAATTTTATTTCACACCACTACTCTTAAACCAACAACTTGCTGAAGCATTATCAACGCGGCGAAACCTACATCTTTGACGATGTGATGGTTTGAACAGGGTGTGTTTCACTTATACTCTTGTGCGTATTGAGGTGTGTTGATACATGTATAGACACAAACAACCGAATATTTGACAATAGGCGGGTCAACAGCAGGATGACAGCTAGAAAATCCACCACAATAAATGCACTCATTTAGGAGCAGGACATGCGCATTCGCCAAGCCATTGGACGATTCCTTGAAATACATATGTTTTAATCACTCAAATACCGAGTTCGCTGGCTGCCAGGCATTCAGTTGCTTGGCATTTCATTGTTTCGCGTTTCGTTTCAATGTGTTGAGCATTTTGTATGCAAACCAAAACTACAACAATGAACGAAAGTCACAAGCGCACGAAGGTGAAAACGACGTTAACCAAGGCAACGGTAATACAAGTAGAACGACATTGCAATCCCTGCCCAAAAAAAAGAATGAAACAAGCCGCCTTAGTGAAAATTTTAAACACACACATATGTACATTTTGAGAGCGGAGAGCAATGAAAAAAGGCGAAGAATTCGCAGCAGTCGTAAAAAACCGGTTAATAAATAAGTCTCGCATTTAAGGAAAATAAAATAAGTGTTTACACCAAGAAAAGTTCAAAAATTAAATAAAAATGTTAAAACGCTTGCGAAAAGATTAAAGCAAAAGTGAGAAGCGCGGAAATTGTGGTTCAGCGTGATTCTGTGGAAAAAATGTGTACATTACAAATTAGCTCCCGGACCAAAGGCATAATTTTTGTAATTTCTGATATGTACCTATTTATATGGTACATAAATTGTGAAATGCTTCATGGCTTGGGCAAAATCGTACTTGGAACATCATATTAGTATGCATACATACATGAAAAAGTTTTGAAAATTAGAAAGTAGCCGTTTCAAATAAATTCAATGAAAATAACAATGTGTGAGGTGTAGTTTTCCAAAAGCATTGAAAGGGCGATGGTGTCTCTAAACAGGAATTCGACATTCTTACATTGACACAAGCAGATGTGGTTACGAACGGGAATACTTGGCAGCTGCTCCTTAAAGTACCTACATAACACAAATGTATGAAGGCCTTGTTATTTTGTGTGTATGGTATAAGCGAAGGCGCACAAAAGTACATCACGACTTGGTGGGACTGCGCTTGCCATATCCCGGATGCCAACCTACAAACATACATGTTTGCATGCATATGTATGTATGTAGATACGAAATGTCTTGTGAGTATGTCGTGCCAGGGATACAGAAATAAGGCTCTTTTGCGCGCGCATGAGTATGGGGGAAGCATTTAGGGAGCGGCAGTTCAAAAATTTCCGAAACCAATTCGAAAGTATGCAAGGCAAGGCGTCGAAAAGAAATATTCATTACGACAATATTAGATTATAGTACGAAAAACTAAATGGTAAATGATATTAAATAAGGTGACGGAATTCTGATAACACTGAACAATAGCCCAATAAATTAATTATGTTCTATAGTGCGAATTGCTTGTTGTTCCATAGTGTTATGTGCAGTAGAACACTGAGGCATAAATAAGCGAAGCCCACCACAATAGGTGCCAAGCCTGGCCGCACTCGTTGGTGCTGCTGGATCTTCCTTTTTCTTTCATATGCTGCGACTGCGGAGCAAACCAACCCCCTCCATATCGGCGGTAAACAAAGTTTATACAACAGTAATAGTTACAACAACAAAAAAGCAAAAAATTATGCAAACATTAACAGGAAAGTGTGTATAATGGAACAATGGGGATGGGAGTATGTGTGAGAGTGAGCGCAAGCATGAGTGTTGCCACATAAAGGCAATTATAAAGTGAAGAAAAACTATATATTAACGAAGTAAATATTATAAGCTTAATCTGAGAGTTATGTTCACGAGTACGTCGACTGTTATGCTAATAGGTTGCCGTTCGAGTTCATAACAAAATATCAAAAATAGAAAATACTCAAATCTCTCATTTTTGCCTTATTGTAAAAAATTTCGTTAATTTTGCTTATAATTCTTAACAGTGTTTTAATTTCCTTTTGTTAAGTTGGTTGCTATTAACAGTTAGTAAAACTGTCTGCGTAACATAACCTATAAATTTCATGTGACTTTGGCAACTCTGCAAATAAGTGCTCTCCCATAAGTTTGACTCTGCGTCAGTCGGTTTTCTTTATTGCTCGAACATATCCTGGAAAAACCACAGTGTAGATAAAAATAAATTTTGGTAGAAAGCATACGGGGTAGTAAATTAATAGAGAACATAAAATATATGAAAACAAAATATGTAAAGAAATTAGAGACTACAACAAATATATGGTGAATTCAGTAGTAAGAAAACTGCGTATGGGAGGCGTTGCTGATGTGGGTAGTAGAGAAACAAGAAGCAGGTTATTGAAATAACTAAAGCTAAACGTCAACTGTTTTCGCTTGCTACCTGTTTTTTTGCTACTTGCAGCGCTGCCACCAACATTCTTTATGCGCGTTCTTGACGGGTAGACGAGTTATTCATCCCCCACTTGACGTTCTTGTAATTTTTGCTATAATTCTTTATGAAATTTTAGCCTTGTATGCGTGTTTGCATTTTAGTATTATACACACTTCTACACTTCGGAAATAGCATGCAATACATGAATCGTAAATCGTAGTGAAGGCAGAGTTCATTGCATGTGTGCCAGTGAGTGGGTACAAGCGAAAGAATGAAGTATGGGTGGTAGTGACTGCCGCCAAAACAAAGTAAAAGTGTGTTAGTGCACAGCCGAACAATATAACCCCGCGATTGGGAGAAAGGAAAAGTAGTAGGTAAATACGAAAAATTAAGAAGAAAAGCCAACACACGGCTATGTGTAGGTGTTTAGGTATATGAACAGTACCTTTGAAAGTGTCGAAAAAATAAACCGAACTAATGAAACAGCATTGGGTCGATGGTTTCAGTTGGGTGGGGGTCAAAAGTAAATCGCGAATGTACAACGGAACGGAAAAAAAACTTTACTTGCACAGAACTTATGAATACAACCGAATGCACAACGGCAGCGATAGTGCCGTTACTTAGCGCAATTTATTGGTTGAATGCGTGGAGGAAACTTTACTTATTTAAGGACGTACATAAAAAATTTGCCATATTTTTGTATCGTAAAAGTGTCGATAAAAGGGGACCAATTTTTTATATCATAAACTAAACAAGTATCACAAGGCTGAAGTAGAAATACATGTCAAGTAAGAGATATTTTATTGAATATGTTTTAATATCTTAAAATTTCATTCAATAGAATAGAATAAAAAGTTTAAAATCGAATAATTTCTTCGATTTATTGTTGGGTTGTAAAATATATTATAAATATGTATATTTACTTGCTTGTAATTACATATCTGCACACACATATCTATATGAGCATGTGTGTACTGCATTTGCGTGCTTTTGCGCCAAAGAGTATGCTAGCTGTGTACCCGAACACAAATACGAAATAGCGCAACAAATCTCTCTTGATCTACAGCTAGGCTTTTTTACATATTGGTGTGTATGTATTCGCGCATTGTCCCCATGCCCACACAGTCTACTGAAATGAGTGAATTGTGTGAGTTGTGTTGGCGCTCTCGCGCCTTTCGCCCAATTACTTTGTCCGCCTCCCCTGTGGGCAGCACGCACACATACACACGTTTCAATATGTTTCTGCTCACTGTGGCTTTCACTGTTGCTCCAGCCAACTCGTTGCGCTTTGTAATTCTTTTATTTTTGATTTAATGCCGCCGGTCGAGGGCGGTGGTCATTTTAGAACAAGAGGAAGCAGCGATAGTCCAACACAGCAAAGCAAGAGAGCTGCAACAAAATGCAAACGCCTAAAAAGCAGTAAACAAAGTAGAAACAAAAACACCGTTAGTTGAGGTCTCGTTTTGAGTTTGACTTCAATTAAATTAGGTGAAAACATTCAGCGCAAATTTGAGATTACCAAAAAAGCCAAAAATATTAATGAAACAGACACGGTGTATTAATAAATGTTGCAGATTTTAGCGCCTGGTGAGCCCTGAAATGCAAATAGTGGGGTTGAAATAAGTTCTTGTGCGGTGATTTTTTGTTTTATTAGTTTTGAAGTTCAAAGCCAGTTTGTGTATGCTGTACTAGTATGTGGGCATGTTGCTGTGGCGACACGCCTTTGCCATGACTGAATTAGCGAAATGCATCTGCGGAGCATTTTATTCACGAAACAAATGTTTGATTTTAAATTTAAAATATTTGCACTCAAAATACAACGCAAACGAGGCAACTTCGATTGGGAGGAAAATAATCTAACTTCATTGAAATTGTGGACAATTTAATACAAATACTCATTACAATTGATAAAACGTCTCAAATATGTATATAAATATACATATACATATTAACTTTATGTAATACTAATATTATCTGACAAATGAACAAAACAAATAGCCTACGCCCGCGAAAAGTGATTGAAACATATTTGAAGCAGCTATTTTGTAAGTGTGCGCGCGTGTGCTGGCACTTTCAATGTCATCAAAAAGGGCTGTTGTAGATATTCTGTAACTGAGAAGTATCACAGCCAGCTTTGATGAGCATTGCAATTAAACCGCATAAGAAACACGAAAGCAGTTAAACGCTCACAAAATATATATTGTGTTGGAAGAAGGAAAATGCAAAAACATTTTAAAATATGTGAAAATCGCACAACACACATGGAGCCGGCGCTCAAAACACCAATCAGCGCCTGGAAGTATGTTACCGAACCGAAAACACGATGTGCTTACAAGAAAACGGCTGATTTGCATGCCGTACACACACACCCACAGTATTTTATATTTTTTCACTTTTTTGCCCACATTCTATTTGGTTGTTGTTGCTTTTATTTTTGTTTTTGCATACATCATCCGGTATCAGATCCGTAATCGCAGTTGTTTTCATGCGTTGCACTCATTTCACTGCTGCAACAGATTCAAACAAGTTGTTTGCCACACATGCACAGAAACACATACAAATACATGTAGGAACTCATGCGGGGCTATAATCAATACAGACACATTTGTGTATATGCGTGCTAAAGCCTCGTATGCATATTCATGTCCATGTGAACTTATATCCAAACATATCGGCACACCTGTGTACCTCTCACATATATGTACATATGAACGTGTGCAAGGCAATAAAACGTGTAAAACTCAAACCTACGATTTAACGGCACTTACGGTATGTCCAATAAATACATCGTGAAAATTCAGTTTCAGGTTTAATTTTAGTAACAGAAATAAATACAGTTAAACTTGCCTAGCTCGAATCACCATAATTCGCAAAAAAAATCCAGTTAGAGGACTACGAGTTATAGAAGTTTTCATTAAAACATAAATTTAGCCAAAAAGCTGTAAAATATAGACTTATTAGCAGTATTCTAATGTATTCTCTAATTTTTTCCTGAACATACATATATTTTTTGCTTCTTTGTTTCAGTGAAAAGAGATTTTAATCTATTCAGTGCTTTGTATTGATCATAAATTGTATTAATATTGGTATTTAAATAGGAATTTAAATTTGCAAAGGAATGTGACATGATTTTTGGATCGCGGTTGAATAATTTCTTCTTCAGAATCATCATCATTTGCCATGACGCTAGAAGTCAATATTCGGTTTTCAGCTTTCTTTTTCATATTACTGTGGGTGAATGTGTCTTAAATCTACATATTTAATCAACTGAAAACACAAACAAAATGTTCACCAACTCAAATATGAAGCTGTCGATTAATTCTTTGAGAATTGCAAGGATCTTATTTCAAAGATCTAAGTAGAAGATACTAATTTTCACTTAATATTTACTACGTAAACAATTTGGATTAATGCGTCGTTGCGATCCTAAACTAGAAATATTTTATTCCACTTCCACCAGATTAGCGTAGATTAAATCGATTTGCTATAAACTCTCAATAGGGTGAAAATTCTAGATTCTGGACATAGCTTTTTTGCATTGGGTGATAGGGATCAACAAGCCCAAACTTAATCACACCTGTGGTCAGTCCTTTTTTTTTTATTTGTATGTGATACTCCTTTGTCACAACGACCTCATCAGTATCTTTAGAAACGACACACCCCCAAACCTGAACCGAAAACTAGCCAAACTCTATTTCAGAATTCAATATTCAGTAGAGAGAGCAAATGTGGCTTCCTGGCTATCTTCGATGAGTATTTATAAGTTTTTAGAACTCTTCTGACAATTTCGTGATCCACTGCCTATCTTCAATTGCCTTACAAGATATATCCCAAGTTTAATTCGATGCCATTATATTATAAATAAATCAACGCCTAATTAAAAACATTTTTATTAATTTTTGACGTGTTCCTTCCGGCAATTTAAATAGGATAAGTTTTTCTTTGCTTTGCACAAATGAAAATAATTTGTTCATTCATAAGAAAATCGCGCAAGTAATAAAATTAATATACCAATAATAATTAAAAAAAATGGTGATAAAATATTTTTATTGCTATTTCTGATTTCTATTCGGATTCACCTAAATTAAGGTTCCAAAACGTACCTACAGCAGATTTAAAAATATAGCAGATTCTTGCGCAACTCTTCAAGATGTTGTGAAATGTTTTCAAGCAACTCTATTCATATCACAGCCATTTTGATGAGTTTCGTTTGAATTATAACGGCAACAGAACAAATATTAGTGAATGTATGAAAGAAAAATAATACTGAAAATAAGAGGAGTATTAATTCTTATGAACAAAATAAAATTATTAACAAATTTAAGAAATTTAGCAGCAACCAAGGAACCTTAAAAGTGAGAACACTTATGGAAAGTATATATATAAGTATATTGATAAATACATACATACATCGATTAACTGTATATAACATTTCAAATTATTTAAAAACATATTCTTTTCAAATGAAACTATCGCCAGTGCTCCGTGTTGTGTGTGAGAATCGCGTTGGGCTTTGTCGCCACGCCATTTCGTTAAAATGTTTGTGTTTATGTCACCATTTGCATACTCATATCACAGCCATTTTGACGAGTTTGGGTGCAGAAAATGCAGCTCAATTCAAATTAAGATATCGGCATGCATACATCATGCTATTTATAAATATATTTTTTTATATATTTTCTTTGTAGCAAAAATTTAGAGCATTTCACTATTTACTTATTTTGAAACGGTTCAATGGGTCAACCACAACGAAAGTTGGAGTCTTGGAAAAATCATTATTTTGCGCCCATTCATATCATACATGCAGCAATCGGAGAAGAGTAATGCCAAGGAAGTTAAAAATGTGCAGATTTTGTAATAATAATAATACTAAAAGTTGTAATAAATTGTATAAACCAAATACATATAAATTTTTGTTTTCTACGGGTTGGATTTTTCCTACCCATGCATGTCGAAATCTCTACATGTTTGTATATCCATTATTTCGAATTCATTGTAGACAACACTTATCCATCCCCTATAAAAACAACTAGCAGTCTTTTAAGTTTTTGTGTTTTGTTTCTTTGCTCATTTTTATTTACACATAGTTTAGGTTTTTTTGTTTTTTTTTTGTTTTTGCTATAATCGCACTCATATATATGTTTGCATATATATATTTTATTTAAATATATAATATATTTTTCATTTATCTTCTCGTATTTTTAATGTAGGGAGAAAACTTAACAAAAACACATGTCTTAGTCTCTTATCATTCAGAATTTTATAAGGGTATGCGCAATAAAATATTTTTTACCGATTTTTTTTTATAAATTCTAGGTGAAAAACGAAGGGTAAGTAATAAACAAAAATGACAAAAAGTACAAACGAAAAATAAATATGAACTTCGCAAAAACGAGCTGAGTAAGCACTAAAATCCAACTGAGCAAAATAAATGCGTGCAATAAACGCAGATTTAATGACATGTACAACACGGGTCCCCCACTAATCAAATATTAATTTATTTAAATTTTTCGCTTTTGTTGACTTTTGGTATCTTATTAAAAAGTTTCGTCTAATATTTATTTAGCACAATATTCACGTTGGTTGCTTTATTGAAGTGTGCACAATAATAAACATTTTTTTATGGAAATGCTTATAGAGGGGCTTAGAAAATAAAGTTATGCTACTTCAATAAGGCTTCTAAAGGATTTGTCTTCATTCGCATAAAAACGTTCCAGAAGCTTATGCGATTATTGAGGGCGAACTCAAATGTGAATAAGCAGCTAATCTTGACCTAAGCGTTTAGTTTTATTTTGCATATTTACTTTTTTAAGGCTTAAATCAGAGAAATTATTTTCAAATTTTCAACTAAATCGTGAAATAAATGTTTAAGAAGTCAAGTTGATCCCAAGTCGCTTAAGGCAGCGTTTATATTGTTACTACTAATGTGCATACAAGCAAATGTTTTATTTTTTATTGGAAAATACGTGATCAAATTAATGTTTTCCTTTCGAACACTACAAATACTTTTCGCGCTGTGTTCAAAAAAGTACTAGAAAAGTATTTGTTATTTGACATGGAATGATTCGCAAAGGATTTCAGAAGAAATCAATATTATTATTCTTTGAAAAATATCCATTGCTTGTTTTAGTTTGATGTGAAAACGCATCAATCGGACGTATAACATAAGAAAGTAATACAATTCGAATTCAAAAACAAAAACTCTGTACGCAAATCAATAAAACACACGGAGATATTAAAATATATGGAGAAGATATGCACGAACGAAAGTAATGCGGCATGTGGCAAGTCGCCTGCCGACTTTGATTGCGTTAGACGCAAAGTTCTACCTAAGTCGATACACGTCTTCCGATTGCGCTATTTTAAGCGATTTTGTATAACGGTTCCAATCGCGCAATTGTTTTTGCATTTCATTGCTTTTATTTTTATACGTTTAATTTGCATCATAGAAATTTTTGTTGTTTTTTTTTTTAATTTTTTTCCTTCCGCTTTTTTTTTTATGTCCGCTATGCAATACAGCAACATCGATGACAGCAACAATAACAATATGAAATGCATTTTACATTTCGTCCCTATTTTCTACCATGGATGACAACAAACATGCCACAAATAGTTGCATGTTAGATTTTATGGATAATTCTCATATTATTTTCATTCTATTAAATAATTTTCAATATTTAAGTTTAAAGAAGGCAAGTAAGGGCATCTAGTTAAATTGCAAAATATATTTTAATTTGCCTTAAAGTCAAATTATGATAGCAAAATATTAATACCTTGCTAAGACGTTAGTTTTACAAAATTCAGAAAAACTTCTTGCAACCATGGAAACGTTACACATATGTACATATAGATTCTCACCATTGACGAATTTCTAATATATTATTATTATTATTTGTATTCATATATTTTATGAGTTTGTAATTTTTTTGCAYAAAAGCAATGGTTTTATTGTTATTATTGTTGGCAGATGTTGCTTTGCAGTATTTACAACATAAGTCGCATCTATTTACTTCTTATACTTTTCTATAGTATGTAATATGAATGCTCATAATCAGCCGCAGCATGACTTCATCCCTCCTCCCATTTCACATTTTCAGTACTTCTTCTTGTATCCACCGCGTGACGCTCCCTCGCTGTTTTATGATAAATATGTGTTTCGTTTTGTTGTTGTTGTTTTGTAAACATTTACTGCGCTGGATGCTGTTGCATCAGTATTTGAAAGGGCTGTGTTTGTTGTGGATGCTGTGGCGTCGTCGAATAGTAGTGATTCGGCATGATCTGTGTCGAATGTAATACGGGATACACGACTGGGTACATAGGCTGTGTTTGCGGCGCGAATGTTGGTTGTGGGCCCCCGCCAGCAGGGGAAGGTTGTGGTGGCGGATGGAACGTCTGATGCGGCTGTCCTGGCGACGGTGTAGTTGATGGTGGTGTTTGCGTAATGAACTGCAACTGCTGTGGTGGTGGTTCATACATGCGCACCTGTAATACAAGATTTTGCACATTGTTAATCAACTTCATTTATTTTGCATAAAGGACGGCGGACAACCAGAAAATATTTAATTATTATATTATACTTACATTAACATATGGCTGCGATTGGAAATGTGGCGCATGTGGCGTTTGTTGGTAATGTATAAACTGTGGTATAGGTGCTGCTGCCAGCAAAGGTTGCCCGGTAGCTGTTGTTGCTGAAACATGAGTTTGTGACGCCGCCATCGGTCCTGTTTATAATTAATTAACCAAATGTCATATTAAATTCGCACAAGAAAAATACAAAAAAAGCAATGGTTTATAAGAAAAATATATTTGGCACTCACCATAGTTGCCTCTGCGCATGCGTGGTTGTTGTCCCGTCTGTGGATGTGTTGGTGCTTGGAATGCGGGTTGTTGTGATTGCATCACATACATGGGCGTTTGGCTACCTGCTTGCACATGCGTAGCAGTCGTGTAGATGTTTTGCATCGCCACTGGTGTTTGAGGGGTGTGTGGACGTGATGGATTCGGGGTACTGGGGCTTCGTGGTGTGAACGGTTTCGCCGAAGGATTTAAGACGTGTGTCTTTTTAACAGTTGTTGTACCAGTCGCAGTAGCACTGCTGGTCGCTGTGGACGATGCAGCAGCGCCAGGAGCCGTGGACAGTTTATCTGATGCGCTGTTGGGTGACGTGTTGCTGACCGGTGTGACTGTTGCCATTGGTGGTGCCTCCATCTTATTCACTTGTTGTGCCGCTTGCTGTTGCTGATGCTGCTGTGGTGGGGTGTCCGCCACCGGCGGAGAGCTCTGCTGTAATTGTGACGGTTGCGCAGGTTGCTGCTGTGGCGGCGACACATGATACATACCCTGCTGCTGAGCTTGATGCTGTGGTGGCTCCTGTGTCAAAGGCGTTGCCGGTTGGGCCGGCAGTTGTTGCTGATGTTGATGTTGCTGCATAGACGGAGGCTGTTGTTGTTGTTGCAAATGTCCTTTTTGCTGCTGCGACTGCGACTGCTGCTGTGCATGTGAGGGCCCATGCTGTTGTGCTTGCTGTTGTTGCGTCAAATGTGACGGTACGTAATGCTGCTGTTGTGTTTGTTGAGGCGACGACGCATGATGTTGATTGTGATGCTGTTGTTGCACATGCTGCATATTTAAATGCGGCTGCGTTTGCTGTTGCTGCACAATTACTTGTTGAGGCTGCTGTGGCGGCGAAACCGAAGGTTGTGGTTGGTGACCCGGTACTTTACCCAAATTCAGATGTTGCTGTTGCTGCTGAAGTGAGGGTTGCGTTTGCTGTGAATGTTGGGGCGGCGACGTTGATGTACTATTCGATAACTGAAAATCTTGTGCAAATTGCCTTAAGTCTTGCATTTGATTCCGCATTTGGCGCTGTGGCTGAGGTGGTGGTTGATTAGGTGGTCCTGCCATCACTAATTGAGACTGTGGATGATTGTGGGGACCGCCACCAGTTTGTAAGGGGGGTGAAGTGCTATTGTTAACTCCCAAGGGACCACCAATTTGTTGTTGGCCGTGAGGAGGGCCATGTGATTTAACCATTGAAACCTGTATTCATATTAAGAATCGATTACAAACCACGGTTTTGAAAGAAATCCTATTGTAATATAATTTACCTGGTTGTGCGAATCGTTGTAGTTTAATGGAGAATTTGTTTGAGTACTCTGATACTGACGCATATTACGGTGCGGCATCGGTTTTCCCGAGTTCGGGTTTGAGTCCCCATTTACCTTTGATGGTCCGCCAATGTGCTGCTGGTTCCTATATTGTGACGACCTTGATAGACAAAAATATCAATCTATAAGCATTAGCAAACCCCATCATTTGTATGACAATGACGTACCCATGAATTATTTGTGGATAATTTTGCATAGGTGCTTGGTTTTGAATTGGCATTGGTTGATAATTGCCAACTTTGCCCCCACCAACACTCGACTGACTTCCACTATTCCCTTGAGCCATGTTACCACCGCTGCCACCAACGCCCGATTGGGTGTTAGAATTATTGGATATTGGTGCATTGCGCAACATTTGTTTACCCTGTGGGACTGTTTTGCGCTTCATCATTGAACTGCCGCCATATTTGTTGCCACCATCTGATCCGCTGACAATTCCAGTGTTTGATGACAGAGGTAATGACGATGTATTTTTTATGCCTCCTGCCATACCACTGGATGACGATTGTATTGAGCTGGTTGGCTGTTGCTGAGCTGGTTGCGGCTGACCCATACTTACGGAAGCCGGTGCATTTACCATGCGTTCGCCGCCTATCATATCAATGTTACCTCCGCTACTGACACTACATCCGCGATCTATATGGCCACGTTGAGTTGGACCATTGCCACTGGTTTGTGAAGATACGGTCGAAGAGGTTGAATTGGTGGATGCCATAGCAACAGGCGGTGGCGGACCGGTTATACTACGGGTTGGTTTTGTTATATATCGTTCAGCCACAATTTCCCGATGATCGTACGCGCTTGTACCCGGACGTTTGCTCCGTTCTCGATCATCACGTTCGCGATCGCGTTCTCTATCTCGTTGTTCTCGTTCACGATCCCGTTCACGTTCCCGGTCTCGCTCTCTTTCCTTTTCTCTCTCCCGTTCGCGTTCCCGCTCTCGTTCACGTTCCAAATCGCGTTCTCTTTCACGTTCACGGTCAATTTCGCTACTCGGTCGTTCCACTGCAGCGAATAGAGTCTCCTCATCCCCGTTCTCTAAATCAACACGCTCTCTGTAGATAGGATTGTTTTCGATTTCTGCAGCTAACTTCTCGGCCTTGGCCTCCGCTTCTTTAAATTCATCAGAATCTACTTTATCAAGTTGAACAGTGTATGAAGATAACGAATCATCAAATGTTGACTGAACTCCAAAAACATGTTCATTTTGCCTAAACATATCATTTGGGTCCCAACCATTAGCGGCGCCGTCTAGTTCAATGTCAACATCCCCATTCATACCAGACGCATCCCATGGTTCCAGCTCTTTCTCCTCAAATCGAATACCTATAAAAGAACACTAAGAGATATAATAACCTGCAAATTTAAAAATATCTTTCCAGTAACCTACCATTGAATTTTTCAGAGATGGCCCCGTCCGTTGCAAAAGTTCTCGTTGTGGCATAACGAGAATCGAAATCTTTTGCCGATATATTCACTACTGTATCACAAGGAAAAATCATGTGATTCGGGACATGTTTACCCTCATCCTCATTTTTATTTGTTTTAATGCATAATGGTAGTTCCAGAGCTACATCAAAACTTGGCGAGAAAGTGTGGAATACGCCCTCGTAAATATTACCCGAGCGTAAACGAACTTGAACAAGACTGCCAACTAACGATGTGGCCGCGTGAATGAAATGAGTGTTCTTATACACTCCCTGTGCCTGCGTACGTCCTTTATTTGAATGTTGCTGATGTTGTTGCAATTGACGATTGTCGGTCACGTATCTTGAAGGTGAAAAAATTTGTTATTTGATTTCGTAAATAGTTCCAAAGAAAATAAAATTCTGGAAACATGGTCTTAGTTTTTTTTACTTGTTTACTTATTAAGCACTCTAACCTTAAATATCAAAATATATAATAAAAACAATATCGTGAGCCAACGCACATACTACGGTCAACGCACTTTCTAATTCATTGGCATGACGTCTTGTCATCTACCGCTTTGTTTTTGCGCAGGTGTGACGATGTGCGTATTTTATAAAAAAAATATATAATATAACTACGTTGCATACGACATAAAGAAATTCGTAAACAAAAGAAGGAAAAAAATTGTTTATTTGCGTCTTTGAATTTTGAAATTTCTTTATTACAAAAAACACGTCTATCAATTCAATAACAATTCCAACCCAACACCAAAATGCAATATAGCGGTAGATCATTTATACAAGCATTTTAGCTTTGAGTCTTTTATATGTACATATTTACCAGAATTTGTACTGATAAAAAATATTATATTTTGGATTTTTAAGCTTATTCAAATTTTATGTATATCGGAAGGATATCTAAACACCTATCATTTTGCAATTAAAAGCACATGGCTAGGAATTATACTATTATATAAGATGGGTAATATACTTTCCATTTATCACTATACTTCTCAACTTACCGTCCTACGCCACCAGGGCGATTTTTGCGTTTATTGCTATTGGTATTCATAATGGTGTTGTGTTGAAATTTACAACAATAAATGACAAAGTGGCACTTTCGCTTGTGCCTCTTTTAGATTTACGTCGTCGTCGATACTTGCTCCACTATTTCTCCCAGTCTCAACGCTAAGATGCACAACGGTATTTTGTACGCGACCAAAATATATCCTGCTTTTAAGTGAACACGTTTCTATCTTTATCACTACGTATTTAACAACTTCTAGCAGAGCTGCTTTGTTTTGATAGTTTAATGATATACTTAAATTCTCAAAAAAGTTCCTTATACCAAAAACACAATATGAAAGGAACGTTTCACACTTTGTCAGTTCTTTTTGATATAATTTTTATGCAATTATCGCAATCGAAACCACACACACAACGTAGCCGTAATCGATGTTGCGTTAAATATTTATTCTCTTTTTCGCTTTGTGAAAATATATACTATAGTAGTACACAATTTACGTTAATCACTTTTTCACAGTGAAGTTAACTCTTTTACTTCTTTATTAAATTTGGATTTAAATTATGGTTCGCAAAATTATGCTGATGTTGCTTCTTCCTCATACGTTTTTACTATTCATTCTACATTCCTTTTCGTTCATGCAGGTTTTTTCGCTTCCTTTTAGATTTGGTCGTGGATGCGTTTTTCTACACAATTCCGCTTCAGGGCGACGTTTGGTAAATTTCGTTTTCACTGCACACACTTCCTTCACTACTAGCTTCGTTGCCACCTTCTCACACTGTCACAATTTTACAATACTGGGAAGCAAATGCCAACACCACTCTCACGAAGTTATATTTTTGTTCCTCTTACAATTTTCCTTCGATCCAGATTGAATTGACAAAAATGAGGACTGAATATCTTAAAGATTATGAAGTCTCTTTTATAGTCGATCGGATGTATGCAACACAACTTCAGGTAAGGAGTTGCTTTGGGTTATTTCTTCGAAATTCGCTAACAATTGTCTAAACACAATAGTTTTCAGGTAAACTGCAAGTATCAATTATTACTGTTCCGTAATTTTCGCTGTCACTGCTGCACATGCAGGGTTGTACCGAACTCAGAGAACGTAAATTAAATACGTTCTCTGCCGAAATAACCAGGCCGTGCTACCAAATTCTAGCTGTCAACGATGCCGAGCTCCAATTTTTTAACGGCGCCGAAATTATTCTTATTAAATACAATTTTTAGGATCTAAAATATTTTTTATAACCAATTTGATATAATATGCCTCCAATAATTACTCCAAAGTGATTATCAGATTTATTGATTTTGAAAAAAAGGTTATGAAATAAATCAGTTGAAAAGCAAGAATTTGTTTTTGTAGGCCCCTTTTACATTGGTACCAACTATAACGGTAACATAATAATGTTTTTGAAAGGATTAATATAATTTTAATTTTAAGAAGAGTTAAATTTTATTTAGAAACTTTCTTTATTTACTTTAATTAAAAGTATATTTATTACATATAGGTGTATATGTACATATACATATAAAATTGCTCAGAATGTTTCTCAGCATATTTCCCGCAATGCGAGTTTTGCGTTTGTTTGGCTCCCTGCAAATCAACCCATTCTAATATGTACATATGTAAATCAACTATCAATAACAAAGAACAAGTAAGGAARGGCTAAGTTCGGGTGCTACCGAATATTTAAAACCAACCAGAGAAACGGAATCCAAACAACCCTATATACAGTTGAATTTCCATAACTCAAATCACCATTATCAATAAAAACCTTCGTGTTATTGAAATAAATTTGTATTAAATTTGACTACTATTACATATTATTAAAATAACATGGGAAAAAATTACAAAAAAACGTTAATTACTTTTTTATTTATCAACATTTTTTCATGATTCTAGTAGGAACTATAACCATTTACGTACTTTTTAAGAATAAATTGGGGTTTTGTGTTTCAAATTATCCAAACATAAGAAATCGTGTCCTCCAGTGAAAAAACGCATGCCATTCACCCAGCCATTTCTCCGACAGATGTCATCAAAAAATTCCGAAAAAAAATTGTTTATACACTCCACGATATACCTGATGATATGTGAAAAAAGTTCTATTGTTGAATAAAAATTTCTATGAACCAAAAAAAAGGCCGGATTACCCTACTGACCCTTTAAGGGTTCGAATTTTGGAGAACTTCAAGTTAGAAGTTCGACTGCATATAAATATATGTATATATATAGGGGTTTTCAATAGGGCACTACAAAAGTAGACTGACAGGGACAGGAAACGACGCCATATTTTTCCGCTCTTTTGATATTTCTCTTCAGTAAGGTTTGCAGTTTCATCATGGAAAGATATACGATCCAACAATGAGTCGAAATTATTAAAATTTACTACCGGGGAATTCGGTGTCAGTAGTCTCACCTTTGAGAGCTATAGGCACACACACTGACCGACGTATTCGAAAAAAGTTTGTTGTTGTTGTAGCGACAGAATTCTGACGAGTTGACAGTCCTTGGCCGGATAAAGAATTAGGGTGCGTTTCGATTACGTAGACCCAACTATCGTGGGAAAGACAGACATGCAGATACTAGCTAGTCGTTGCAGCTTCGATAGTTGTTTTAGTTCCATGAGGAATTCCTGGAGCACGGTTAACTCATCCGACTCTAACGTCTCCGCCGGGTAGTTGAGAGGCAGCACAGCCATTTGGATGTCTTTTAGAGCATCCGCATATCTACGCCGTCTGTCCTCCATCCGGGGAGGGATTTGGTGCGGAGAGTTGACCTCCGGCTGCCTTCGTGTTTTTGCCCTTCAGCCTTTTATAACTGGGGTACTCCTGTGGCGTGATTTGCCAGCTGTTCCACTTCGAGGCAGCGGCTTCGACACACATACTATTTAATTAATTTTTTCAAATAAACTTTCCTTCTTGAAATATTATCATATATCGCCAAAACTATATTTCGAACAACATTTTTCACTGCTGGGAAAATTCGTGATTTCTAGTTCTTTAGCTTTCCAACCACGTCGACAATCAGTAATAATTTATGCTTGCATATTAGTACTCAATGAAATAATCTTTAACTTCTAGTATTCTTCATGTGTCCGCGGATGCGATGTATGTATGTACATAAATATGTTTGTATGGAGATATGTTCGCCTGCACTGTGTTTCTTAATCTATTTAACATAGTAATCGTATCTTATCTGGTTAAATATCTTAATAAACATAAAACTACGCACGAAATTTTGGCTTAAAGTAAATTAAGCAAACAAAATACGTTCGCAAAAGTGAGCTGTGCCTCAAACCTACATACATGCAAATGAAGTCAGAAAAGAATTCACCTAAATATTCGGCATTTGTTCCGTAAAGAAAAATAAATAGTTTCTTACAAAGTTCCAAGCGAAACAGTATGATTTTAGGTCTAATTTTTACCACAAATTGCAATCATCTGCAGCTATGAGATCGGGAATGCTACTTTTAAGTGATTGCTGGGTGGGTTTTGCCTTGTGCATTCCAATTCCATCCTCCGATGAGAACATTAACTGCTTTTTAAAATATCATGTTGATAAATTTTGCCCCAGTTTTAACCTCTTTTTCATAGAAATAAGAAAGTGTAACCGGTGTACAGGAGATGCTCCACTAAATCGTTATAGTAGTAAAATGGCAATAGCATTGAACTTTTGGTATAGCATTTTTCACCACTGGCAATGTTTGCGTGGATTTTGATCTTAATTTCCTCAAAATAAAAAATTTTCATCTGACACTTTCATGGTCGTTGTTAATCCTAATTGATTCAAGCGCGTTGTTAGATGATAACCATGACCAGTTGATCAACGGCAGAGTTTCATGGGAAGATTTCTCTTGAAAATAATTCCCTAAGGGAATTTCTGCGAATGTGTACCCTAATATTTTGTATGACTAAGTTAGGCGACCACTTCTCTTTTTGTCATCATTTGTAGACGTTCGGAAACCCCGCTAAGTAAAGATTCTCGAAATTCTTTAAGAAGCTTACAATTTTCACTTGCGATTTTTCCACACTTACATATACTATATATCAAACAATATTGTTTACCTTTTATTGTTAAAAAGCGAGAGCAAATACTAAACTAATTTTTATATGCGATTAGACACTGCAAATTATGATATAAAATAACGTCACTTTCTATGCGCTGAATGCACAGTAAACTTTGTAACAGAATTTATGATAAGACCAATTATAGTGATGAGTTAATAAGTGTCAATAATCATTTATTAAATACTTAATCTATCAGATTTGGCGAAACAATTAATTTTTCTTGACATCCAAATCTGTGATTCTCTACAATACATATTGAGCTCTAGTAATTCCTTGAATTTTTTGTTTATAATTATACCACACTCCATATTCCTTCCAACTCGAGGTAAGACATTTTCTTACAAACACAGATACGTATATACGTATGCACAAGCTATGTGCATATATTAACACGAAAGGGGCGAACATATAATTATATATTGGATAATCTAATTTTATATCTAACTTTGCGTTTTAGGAAAAAAAGTTCCCAACTAAACTTGAGGATACTAATTTAATTATCCATGAGTACTTAACATATTTTTAACGAAAATATTTGAACTTGTGTGATTTGTTTAGTCAAACCAAATATATGCATATTTGCAATAATATTTTTTTTTTGTTTTTGTTTTTCTGCATCGAATAAACTGGCTTTATTTTGCCAATCATTCGAAGTAAAATATTTTTATACTTCAAATAAAAGTTTATATACATTTGTAAATACTATATATTCATAC